ATGCGTATCCCTTCTTGTTTTGGCTTGTGAAGCGATCTGATCTTCCGTCTTACTTGCTCGCTATTTGGCTTCTCTCATCATGCCCCCGCTTGTTGCGCTTGATGGGCAGATCTGTTTGGAGCTGCCAAGCTGTGCCCCCCTCCTTCAGCGCCTGCCTGCTTGCATCCAGATTGCTGCAAAGCTGTTCAACTTGCTGCTGCAGCGCAACATTGCTCTGTTCCACCTCAGCCAACTTGCTGCGCACACCATTGGTTGCCAGCGACTTGCTTGGACAAAGCTTGCTTGCGCAGGGACGCTCATGAGGAAAAACGCTTGACGACAGAACGGCTGCAGGTGGCAGTATGCACAGACCAGGCGCAGACGGCACTTGAGCTTGGCATTCACGATTGTTGCGTGTGGGATAGCAATAGCGTACGTCGGCGCAATCGTGGGGTTCAATCTTGATGTGTCTCACCCGGTGGGGAAAGAATCAACAGGCGCGCCCAACGGCCTCAAGAATTGGCGAGCGCGAGGCGTGTTGCCAACATGTGTGACAAGTCTGGCCATACTTAAGCAGCGATCTTCGTGCTCGTATTCCCTCCACTGGGCCATCTCGCTCGGGACAGCTGCCTTCTGACCCACACATCATTGCAATGGATTACGCATTCCTCACCGATTTTGTCATACAGGCGGACGCTGACGACGGTCTCGACGGGCTGGAAAAGCGTCTTCGCCGCCAATGTGCGCTCACCGCCGCTGCACTATCCATGCTGTGCTACAAGGATGAACCGGCAACGCTTCTGGAGCAAGACTCCGCCCTCCAAGCAGAGTCTCGCCTATTGCGCGTCTGGCCCATTCGGCAACGTGATCCGACCATGGACTCGACGATGCTGCTAGGATGGACCACCTTTGGGGTGGCTTTCGTCGCATTTCGAGGAAGCGCAAATGTGGGCGACAGGGCAACAAACTTTGATGCCGCTGCCGAGCTGGATATTGGCGAAGGCTTTCGCATCCATCGAGTCTTCGCGCTTCGCGCAGCACGCTCCCCGATCCCCTTCCTTGTCAAGCTGGTGAACAGCTGGCCGACGGTGGTGTGTGGACACAGTCTTGGTGGCGCCGCGGCACTAGCAGCCAGTCCCCTAATCTGTCGCAGCATAGGTTAGGCGAACAATGTTTGGTCAGACACAGGCTCGCACGCCAATATTAAAGAGCTTGCGTTCTTCACCTTCGGCGCCCCTCCCGTCTAGTTCAACCAGGCCCGCGCATCCGCGCCCCGCCCTAATCCAGATTTCTGGCACCTGCATCACAACTACATCAACCCACGAGATCTCGTGCCGCAGGCTTACAATCTAATGGTGCCTGGGCTCAACAGGCTCTTTCCCATCACCGCGCCAGGAGAATCACGGAGTCACCTTTCACAGGGCGTGCGATTGGCCCTTGATGTTGTCGAGCCACGAGAGATCTCCCCATGGCGACTCCTCATTTCGATCCTTCGAACGATGTCTAACGACACCAGGGTCAATGCTAGTCACATTGGGTTCATCCACCTCGCTTCTGGCGAG